GCTAACTGCAACCACAAGTTGGCTGCGGATACCAGAGTTTGGAAAAAGTCAACAAGAGCATCCTGTGAGAATCAGTTGACTGTATGGAGTGTACAATGAGGAGTAGTGTATATTTTATTATTATTTACAGATTGTGTGCCTCGCCTCACATCGTTTAAAAAAAAAAACAGTGAAGTATGGTTGCTTTACTGCAAGAAATAAAGAACTTAAAGTGGTCCATTTTCAAGAATAGCTAGTTTTGAGTGACAGCTTGCTGATGCAATAGTTACAAAACTAGAAAGTCCAGGGAAACAGAGGAAGGGTGGAGTGCCTAGGCTTTTCACGCTGGCTCATTCTATTGGTGAATTCAAAACATAAGAACAGAAATAGGTGTGCAGGAAAGGAGGAAACAAGATGTCAGTGAGGGGCCAGCCCATAAAGAGAGAGGAAGTAAACCTAGGCGACATCTAGGAAGATTGTTCACCCCACAGTATTCAGCCAGTGAGGAACTGGAGGAGGGACTTGCATGCTAGGGATAACTTGCGGATAACTTGATCCGTGTAGCGACTCTGGGTGAACCTGCCCACCAGACACCCACTAGATGATCTTGCAAGACCATCATTAAAGCCTCACTTCCCGCTGCACGTTGTGTCTCCAAGACCATTCATTTGAGTTTGGGCTGGTGAGCGTGTTTCTCACATTACAATCGATGTGTTAGTTTCTGCTTACAGCAACGTGAATCAGCTCTAAATACACATGTATTCCCTTTTTTGGATTTTCTTCGCACAGGTCATCCCAGAGTCCTGAGTAGAGTTCCCTGAGCTATACCATAGGTTCTCATTAGTTATCTATTTTATGTGTTGTTGTTTAGTCACTAAGTCCTGTCTGACTCTTCTGTAACCCCATGGAGTGTATGTTAGCCTGCCAGGCTCCTCTGTCCATGGGATTTCCCAAGCAAGACTACTGGAGCAGGTTGCCATTTTTCTCCAGGGGTTCAATCCAAGGATCAAACCCGTGTCTCTGGTGTCTCTTGCATCCATAGGTGGATTCTTTACTGACTGGGCCACCTGGGAAGCCGGTCTATTTTATATAAAGTATCAATCGTGTAAATATGTAAATCCCAATCTGTCAGTTCATTGCACTCTCCCTTGCTCCCCTTGGTTTCCATACCTTTTACTTTATATTAGTAAAACTCATAATCAGTTTGTGTGTGTGTGTGTGTGTGTGTGTGTGTATGCAGACGTCTTTCTGATGTTAAAACATTACCAACACGCCAGTGTCTTTACCTATAAATTACGCATCTGGTGGAGCCTGCTTGGCAGGGTGATTAGACCATCCCGCCCATTCCCTTCCCACGCTCCCTGAGATCACTCCTTTTCCCACCTCCACCCAGGTACCTCCCAGGCAGCTTCTGGCTCCAGTAAAGCTGCTGTCTGGGCTCAAGTTCAAAGAGTGACTCTGATTGATCAACCCACAGTCTCAGCCCTTTCAAAACCTTTTGTCTATTTGGTCTTCCCTCTGGCTGTTTTCCAGCACAGACTCAGCTCCAGGCACACCCCAGTCACACAGAGGAGAGACATCACATTGTAGCTTTTGTCTGTGAGACCAAAAGTTGTAAAAGCTGGAAATGTCACCCTGTTGTCCCCAGGTTTCCTTTGGGGGCCCTGGGGATGCTGAGGAGGGAAGGAGGCAGCTTCCTCCTGCCAAGCCTGTGCTGTCTTCCCCCCAGGATGGGAATCCCTGGCTCCCGTCCTGCTGGGGGATGGTCTTGACTCACTGCTCTCCCACCTCTAACTTCAGGATTTCTGGTTCAGCCCTTTAACAGGGGTCCCCAACCTCTGGGATCTAATGCTTGATGATCTGAGGTGGAGCTGCTGTAACCATAATAGAAATAAAGCGCACAATGCATGTAACGTGTTTTGTTGTTCAGTCGCTAAGTTGTGTCTTGACACTTTGTGACCCCATGAACTGCAGCACTCCAGGCTTCTCTGCCTTTCACTATCTTCTGGAGCTTGCTCAGTCTCTTGTCCCTTGAGTCGATGTTGCCATCTTCTGTCGTCCTCTTCTCCTCCTGCCTTCAATCTTCCCCAGCACCAGGGTCTTCTGATGAGTCAGTTCTTCACATCAGGTGGCCAAAGTATTGGAGCTTCAGCTTCAGCATCAGTCCTTCCAATGAATATTCAGGGTTGATTTCCTGTAGGATTGACTGGTTTGATCTCCGTGCTGTCCAAGGGACACTCAACAGTCTTCTCCAACACCACATCCCAAAACCATCCTCCCCTACCCCTCAGTCTGTGGAAAAATTGCCATGAAACCAGTGCCTGGTGCCAAAAAGGTTGGAGACTGCTGCTTTAAGTGCCTTTCACCTCCTTTCAGTAATGTCCTTGCGTGAACATTTAAGGAGTAAATTGGGAAAAGCTATCTTGGCCACTGCACTCATACTTCATTCATTCAGGAGGTCCTAGTTTTGCCCCGCCACATGCCAGACACTGGTGTGGATGCTGAGATGGAGCAGTGAGCCCACATGGCCATCGCCTTCTGGAGCTCACAGTGGACACATGTTGTCCTTTACTAGGATGGCGTGAGGCTGTTTTTTTAAAAATTGGAGGATAATTGCTTTACAATGTTGTGTTGGTTTCTGCCATACAACAGTGTTCATTGCAGTACTATTTACAATGGCTTGAGTTTTAAAATGGGAAACTTTTATTAAGACAAAATAGTTTGATAATAATATATATTAACTTAATAGATCAATAATTCTTCACACGACAAGCATTTGGCTTCCCTGGTGGTCAAGTGATTAAGAATCCTCCTGCCAATGCAGGAGACATGGGTTCGATCCCTGGTTCAGGAAGATCCCACATGCCACAGAGCAACTAAGCCCATGTGCCACAACTCCTGAGTCTGCACTCTAGAGTCTGCACCCTGGAGCCCTTCTCCACAACAAGAGAAACCACTGCACCGCAACTAGAGAGTAGCCCCCGCCAATCACAACTGAGAAATCCCCCTCGCAGCAACCAAGACCCACTGCAACCACAAATAAAATAAAATAAAATAAAATAGCACACTCCATTGTAAGTGTAGCATAATAATCCCATAATCCTTTGATTTGAGTGGAGTTTTGGCTTCTCCTGTGCCTCTGTGCTTTCAAGGGGGGACGTGTCACTTCTGCCTCTGGACAGCCGGAGCTGCAGGGCTGTGGGGCCCCTGCAGAGGTCAGCGGAGGATGGACACCAAACCTGCCCTAGGCCCAGGGAGCTGACTTTCTCCCATCGCCATCCCTGCCCTGCCTCTTCCCCCATCCTGCAGCCTTTGGAGACCTTGATAGAAACACAGTTCTTCTAGCCTCCTTTTGGTAACAGACCAAGTGCAACTGGGATCACATCATTGTTCTATGACTTTCAGAAAGAAAGTCATCCCTTACACAGAGCCCTTGAGGTAGAACTGCTTTCCGCGTTAGCTGTTTTTCTAGTGACACTGTCTTGGTCACTGGGCAGCTGACCTGGGACATAGGCCTCTGTGTCCTCCTGGGGTCACAGGCCTCACAACTCCCTGGTGCCTGCACTGCAGGACTGGATCCTGGATCCTGGATCCTGGAACCTAGGGATGAGCCTGCCTGACATAAACATGGACACACCCTGTCCCGTGTGCGCACCTCACGCTGATCAGTATTTATTCTGGTAATGACTGACTGCAATGCTCTGCTCCAGGCACCGTGATCATCCCCACTTGGTGCAGAAAAACACTGATGTGTTGCAGCCACGCGGGGCAGGCCTGAGACTTGGACCCAGCCTGTTGCATCGCCGTCCAAGCTCTTAACCACCCTGCAGGCCTCCACGTTAGCTTGTTTGTGTCCCTCTCACCTATTTGAAAGGTTTTTGGGGGAGACTGGTGTGGGGACCACCGGGGAGGGGCCTTGGGGCTCGGCCCTAATCTGGGCTGTGTTGCCATTGTGTTAAACTCTAGAAAAGTCCATCCAGCACTGCCTTGAGAGGGTGCTCTGCCCCTGCTCTATGCTTTAGAGGGTCTCCTTGGGCTTCTCTGGTGGCTTAGATGGTAAAGAATCTGGCAGCGATGCAGGAGACTTGGGTTTGATCCCCAGGTTGGGAAGATCCCCTGGAGAAGGGAATGGCTACCCACTCCAGTATTCTTGCCTGGAGAATTCCATGAACAGAGTAGCCTGGCAGGCTACAGTCCATGGGGTCGCAAAGAGTCAGACAGGACTGAGCAACTAACACACTTGGATCCTTGCCAGGGCCCATGTAGACATGTCTGCCTAGAGCCTGCCCCCTCTTCTAGTTCCTGCTGCAGCTGCACGGGATCCTGACAGCCCCAAGCCGCCAGTGTATGTGTGCACTCCCGGACCCAGGCTGGCCACGGGGGCCTGTCTGCTAGTGGAGTGTCTGGATGATATTTGGCCACGTGGGCTGATGTTTGCAGGTTGGTGCCCAGTCCTCCCGATGCAGGAAGGAGCTGGCTGTTCCGGTGCTATGGTGTGTGATTTTAGTCACTCAGCCGTGTCCGACTCTTTGTGACCCCATGGACTGTAGAGTACCAGACTCCTCTGTCCACGGGATTTTCCAGGTAAAAGTACTAGAGTGGGTTGCCATTTCCTTCTCCAGAGGATATTCCTGACCCAGGGATCAAACCCCTGTCTCCCACACTGTAGGCAGACGCTTTACCATGTGAGCCACCAGGGAAGTGAGAGTGCTATAGCATCCTAGGCTCTGAGGAGCCTGGCAATTCTGAATTAGAACCCAGCCTCCGAGCGCTTGGGAGGCTGTGTGTGTCCAGGTGGGAGGCCAGGACATCCCATGTCCCCTTTCCTGGGCTTGGGCAGAGCAGGGCTGGATTGGGGGCTTTGAGGACTCCCGCCCCTCTGCTCTCCAGGGACCCTGTCTGCTGCGGCCTTGGGAGAGCACTGGCCTTGTCTGCACAGCATCCCAGTCTCTTCGCCCTTCCTGGCTTTGCTGGGAGCTGGGTCTGACCTCACCGCGTCCTGTTTGCTCCTTACTCCTCAGCTGGGGGGTTCCGCTGGCCATCACCGTGGCAGCCGTGGCTCTAAAGAAGATCGGCTACGATGCCTCGGACGTGTCGGTGGGCTGGTGCTGGATCAACCTGGAGGCGGAGGACCGGGTGCTGTGGATGCTGCTGACCGGGAAGCTGTGGGAGCTGCTGGCCTACGTCACCCTGCCCGTGCTCTACCTCCTCATCCGGAAGCACATTCACCGGGCGGTAGGTGCCCCCGGGGGGCCCGCCTGAGCTCTGTGTGGCCTGTGTGGCCGGGCGTCGGGGCCGGCCACCTCAGGGGAAGGACCAGTGACCGGCGAAAGTGAGGGAGGGTTTGTTCTGCATCACTCACCGTGACGCATGCTGAATTTTATACGCACCGTGGGTTGTCTTGTTTGCTAATTACACAGCCCCGTCAGGGCGGGTCCTTTTATTCCTTCGTTTGTGGGTAAGGAAACAAGGCTCACCAAGGTTAAGGGCCTCCCCAGACTCCTAGAGTCTGGAATTAAGGAGGCTACGAGCGCAGCCTGCGGTCTGGGCCACAGGTCTCTACTGCCCCCTCCTGGACAGACCCATGCAGTTGTTTAACCTTGAAAGGAACCTGAATGAAAGATGCTTTGCGTGCAGATGAGCACTAGCCTAATAAGAATTGACCCGGCAGGGCCCCACCCGCACACCGCCCCGCCCCGAGGAGGGGAGGGGAGGCCACAGACTTCCGTTATCAGTGATACAAATAATTCACTTCTTATTCTTGGTGATTAAAATATCCTAAGTGGTAGATTTTTCGGGCTCTCAGGAATTCAATAGACTGGGCTGATCAGAAGTCTGCTAGCTCTGGCCAGAAATTTTCGGAAAGAATGCTTTCCCTCTGATAATCTGACCGAATTGTTCCTTGTGCTGGACTACCAGTTCGTTTCTGCAGATGTAAAGTACAGGCTTTCTCCTAGCCACGTCCAAGTCCTTGTTGTGATTGTTAAGTCACTAAGTTGTGTCTGACTCTTTTGCCACCCCATGGACTGTACGCCGCCTGCAGCCAGGCTCCTCTGTCCATAGGATTTCCCAGGTGAGAATCCTGGAGTGGGTTGCCATTCCCTTCTCCGGGGGATCTTCCCAACCCAGGGATCAAAACCACATCTGCATTGGCAGATGGATTCTTTACTGCTGACCCAACAGGGAAGCCAGTCATGTGCAAACTACTACCCCAGAAGTGCTCAGATTAGCCCATCCATTCATTTGCTCAAGCATTCATTCAGTGCATTTTTTATTGAGCATCTACTATACATAAAAGTTCTGTGTGACAATGGGAGTTTCTAATGAGAATTCAAGCATGGTTCCTGCACTCCCTAGGAGGGGGCAGAGGTGTAACTCCGATGGAAGATAAAATACAGCACATGGCTGGAGCGGTAGCAGAGTGAAAGCTCTGGGGACAGATTTCCTAGCTCAGCCTGCTGATGTGGTGCCTGTCTTTCTGTTTTGCTCTGCATTTTCAAGGCTGAAATTGTAGGGGAGAATGTCCCCATCTTTCGAGTGTGCTGCAGGCTCAATGGCCATTTCGAAGTGTGTAAGGTGCTCCTCGCAGCTGTCTGAGACCTGATCCCCACGCTGTACTCCTGTCTGTCTCCTGAAACACACACTTCGGGTTTTCTTTTTACTTGAAAATCTACCTGGTTCTCATTCCTCCCTGCCGCCCTCTTGTGGCTCAGCTTGGAGTCACTGACAGAGATGCTGGCAGGTGTACCAATGGGTCTGAGATCCTCTCGGTCTTTGAAGGGCTTTTTAGTTGGTCTTCTGTCTGGGTTGGGGGTGCCCTTCTCACGCCCTCTTTCCTACTGCCCTAGGAGGGTTCCAGGGCTCCCAGATGGAAGTTCCCAGGAGCCCCACCAGGCTCTGCCCAGGACTCCCCCATCCCCCTCACCCCCAGCTGCAGCTCTTGCCTGTGTCTTTTTTTTTTTTTTTTGGCAGTTTGGCCACCTGATGGGAAGAGCTGACTCATTTGAAAAGACCCTGATGTTGGCAAAGATTGAAGGCAGGAGAAGGGGATGACAGAGGATGAGATGGTTAGATGGCATCACCGACTCAATGGACATGAATTTGGGTAAACTCCCGGAGTTGGTGATGGACAGGGAGGCCTGGTGTGCTGCAGTCCATGGGGTCACAAAGAGTCGGACACAACTGAGCAACTGAACTGAACTGATGGGGCATGTATGTGGGAGGGAGCTTGTGCAGAGGCCCAGGAGTGGGGTGTGCCTGGCATGTTTGGAGGATTAGGAGGTCTGTGTGGCTGGAGCAGAATAAACATGAGGAATGTGGCAGGAACGAGGTCAGAGAGAGCTAGAGTTGGGGATTTTGTAAGGAACGTGCAAAATGAGGAGTCACCAAGAGCTTGGAGTGGAAGACTGGCTTGATCTGACTTAGGTCTGTTGTTTTGTTTTAATTTTTACAATGTCGTGTTGGTTTCTGCCATACAACAATGTGAATCGGACATAATTGTAAACACATCCCCTCCCTCCATAGCCTCCCTGCCCTCCCGTCCCCCACCACAGAGCACCACACGGGGCTCCCTGTGCTATCCGGCAACTTCTCACCAGCCATCCAGCTTATGGGGGCTTCCCTGGAGACTCAGACGGTAAAGAATCTGCCTGCCATGCAGGAGACCTGGATCCCTGGGTCAGGAAGATCCCCTGGAGAAGGGAACAGCTACCCACTCCAGCATTTTTGCCTTGGGAAATCCCATGGACAGAGGAGCGTGGCAGGCTACAGTCCATGGGGTCACAAAGAGTCAGATATGACTGAGTGACTAGCGCTTTTGTCTGTCTTATGCCTGATAGTGTATATATGTTGATGCTACTTTCTCTGTTTGTCCCACTCTCTCCTTCCCTCACTGTGTCCACAAGTCTGTTCTCTGTATCTTCGTCTCCACTGCTGCCCCGCAAATAGGTTCACCAGTACCATTTTTTTAGATTCCCTATATATGTGTTAATATATGATATTTGTTTTTCTCTTTCTGACTTACTTCAGTCTGTATAGCAGGCTCTAGGTTCATCCACCTCAGTAGAACTGACTCAGAGTTTTTTATGGTTGAGTAATATTCTATTGTGTATATGTACCACATCTTTATCCATTCATCTGTCAGTGGATATCTAGATTGCTTCCGTGTCCTGGCTGTTGCAAATAGTGCAGTAATGAACACTGGTTTTCAAGGAACCATACTGCATTTGTGTTGAGAGTGACATTGCGGTGGGGAGGAGGTTGGGGTGGTCAGGGCAACGGAGGGAGACCAGTGAAGAGGCAGTGGCAACCGTCCAGAGAAGTGTTGGTGGTGCCTGGACCTGGCTGGTGGCGGTGACCGTGGACAGAACTTCCAGGTCTGGGTCTGTTTTGAAGGCAGGACCTGCAGGGCTTGCTTTTGGGGCGGACGTGAGCTGTCGCACGGAGACAAGAGCCAAAGACCACTCCCAAGCTTGGGGCCCAGGCAGCTGGAAGGACAGGGCTCCTGTTAGCTGAGGTGGGGAAGCAGGCAGTGGGCTTGGGGGCGAGGTCAGGCATCTGTTGTGAACATGAGAGGCTTCTGACATGCTTTAGACACTCACATGAGGATGTGGAGTGGCCAGTGGATGGATAAGACGGGCCAGAGATGGAACCTGGGCTGCCAGCCTTAGGCACTGACTGCATGCCTCATGTCCTCCTGCTCCAGCCAGTGTGTGTCCCCAGGAGGAGCGGGGAGACTGCAACCCATGGGCAGGGGAGGGAGTGGGGAGGAGGGCCCCAGCTCACGTCGCTAATCTCAAGTCTGCTCTCTGCCTTCCGGCACAGCGCGAGGAGCTCTCGGAGTACCGGCCCATCGTCTCCGACGTACACCAGCTCCAGCACCACACCTCCGTGGCCGATAAGAAGCTGGTCCTCATCCCGCTCATCTTCATTTGCCTCCGGGTCTGGAGCACCGTGCGCTTCATCCTGACCCTCTGTGGCTCCCCAGCGGTGCGGATGCCGGTACTGGTGGTTTTGCACGTAGGTCTGCCCTCCCCTGCCCGGCCAGCCGCAGGGTCAGCGGGGCAGGCAGGCCCCAACGCTCCGTCCAGCGTGGGCGGGTGGGGGGGCCCTGCTCCCCTGCGCCCTCCTCCATGCCCTGCCTGACGGGGAGCCTTGACGAGAGAAGGTGGAAGGTCAGCATGGCTCCAGGGCAGCCCGTGGGCATTGAGTTGCTGTCCCATGGCCTAGGAGTAACCCCAGGACAGTGGACTGACGCTTAGCCCTTCCAAACCCAGAAGACTCAAGGCACGCCTTCAAGTTCAGGCCTGCCGTTGCTCTGTCGGGGGTCCTGGTGGCCAGGGTCCCCAGGGACCAGCCCCCAGAGGTGGAGACGAGGTCCTGGGTCCCCTGCTCCTCCCTGAGTGTGTTGCTCAGACCCGCTCAGCCCTGGTACTCACTTGTTTTCCTTTCTCCCCGCCAGGGTATCGGGAACACTTTCCAGGGAGGCGCCAACTGCATCATGTTCGTCTTCTGCACCCGCGCGGTCAGGACCCGACTCCTCTCTCTCTGCTGTTGCTGCACCCCTCAGCCTCCCGCCGCCGAGAGCCTGGCCGGCCCTCCCAAGGCCCCTGCGCCCTCCAAGAGCGAGTCTCAGAGGCCCAGGAGAACCCCAAACGAACTTCCAAGCACCTGAGCTGCTTCCCTCCTAGTTCCGGGCGTGGGTGCGGCCGACCTGGGGCCTCCTGCCGTAGCAGCTTCTGACCCCCGTGGGGAGCAGCGCAAACTCAGCTTGTCTACCTCCTCGATCCTCAGGCACGTCCCCCTTACGCCGCATCCTTCGGCACTGGGGGGGATCCGTCAGCATGAGGGCTGCACTGAGATTCAGGGAAACCAGTGGTTCATGAGCACTGCCAGTTCGCCTTGTGGTCCAGGAATCTGGGGCCCCTGACCACACGGCACTGTTTACAGTCGGAGGGACCCACACGGGTGGGAAAGGCACCAAGAGATACATGTACAACCGTGGACCCATCCTCAATAAACTGTTAGGGTGCCAAAGAAAGGAGCCCCCACCAAGATAACACAGAGCAGATTCCTGGTTTGTCAGAGCGTCGGGATTCCCCTGAGAGCCTGGCTTTTCCTGGATGGCTTTACTGGTCAATGCAAGGGTCAATTACCTTGAACCAGGAGGTTCCCTAGTGACCAGCATGGGCACAGCTTCACACAGCGGCTCAGGATGGCCAGTCTGCAGGGGCCTCCTGAATTGTGTCCATGGGCTCCCTGCCCTTGATGGAGATGGTGTGGCCAGGATCCAGACTCCTGCCTCCATGAGACACTTAACGCTGGGGAAGGATTGGGCTTCCCTGGTGGCTCAGAAGGTAAAGAATCTGCCTGCAATGCAGGAGACCCAAGGATGGAGCCCTGGATAAGGGTATGGCTACCCACTCCGGTAATTCTTGCCTGGAGATTGCTGATTTACTCACTTTCTAGGTTAATTTTTTATAGGAAAGGCAACCAGAGAGTTAGGAAATCACCCAAATACTGATTTTTCCCTGAAGGGGAAGGTTTGGGGAATTGGTTGGCGGGCATGACACATGCATCCTGGGGTGATTTGAAAGAAAAAGAATTTAAAAGAAGCATCCGTTAACTCTATCACCTATGACTCTTCCACCAACCCTTTCCTCTTTCGGTCAGAAAACAGTTTCTCTGTTAAGTCACAGAAGCCACTGGCTGAGAAGGGAGGTGTACCTGTCACTGGGACGGGGTCGGGCTTGAGGAGGAGGAGTCGAACATAACTCTACAAGTGCTACCCCTCCCTTAGGTGCCCCTCCCGTAGGTCCCACGAGCACTCTGCATAACTGCAGAGATGTTCTAAACCCGTAAAATGGTTCAGGATTAAAATCAAAGCCACTGCTACTCTTGATCCCTCTTTTACTCTCAAAAGCAAAATCTGTAACAGGAAGAGACTGGAAGGAAGAGTCCTCTACAGAACTAGGTCGAAAACGCTCTTGTTGGGTTTCCTTTTTAAGAAAGATTTTATGAAAATCAGCAAGGGGTGAACATCCCTTTAGGATTCAGAGAAAGTTCCGGGCTGCTTGGCAGGAGGGCAGTCTGCTTACAGGAATGGCCTACGTTGGGGGAGTTGGTGTTCCCCTAAGGATGTTACAGCACACCTTGGGTGCCCAGAGGGTAAAGAGCCTAGAACGGAGCAGAAATTCAGGAAGTTGCTGCTGCAAAGGAGAAAATCAGTCTTGGGTGAGTTAGAGTATGGGCCCCCGGGGAGAATGATGCTAGACTACCTCCAGTTCTCAAGGGGGCCCCAGAGGCCTTGGATCAGATGGTGCAACACTGCTGCCTGCTGGGCGTGGCCTCTAAGGACGAGCCTGAGACCTGGGTTTCCCCACACCTCTGCTGTGCTGTCTGCTCTTCTGAAAACCACCCCGAAGATGCACCTATTTCCATTCCCTCCCTCTGCTCCCCACCCCATCTCTGTAGATGGGTGAAAGTGTTCCTGTGAGTGGGGAACAGGTGTGGGCAGGGGAGGGACTCGTTCTTGTGCCCAGGGGCTGGCAAACAGCAGCATCTCCTTTCTCAGTCAGGTCAGTCTAGCTGGGTAGGTGGAGTTCAGAGCAGTAGAACCAGTAGAATAAAGCCCCTTTCTGAACTCCAGGAGGGGTTCCTGCCTCATATGAGAGCAAGACAGAAGTGCGTTCCTCTTACACGTGGTGGGGCTCCTGTGGGTTCTCTCTGTGTGTCTGTGTAGTTAAAGATTATCTACCCTCATTTCCCAGGCACCGCTGGATGACCTCAGCCTGCACAGGGGCTATGAGCTCAGCCTAGCCCCTCTCTTCTCAGGCACTTTTTGAACCTTGGTCTTTTTCTCAGGTTTACTAAGCACTTTCTGCCTCTTTGTACTGCTGAGCTTCTGAATTGTGTCTGTTTTTGGTTTTTGTGTGTGTGTGTGTTTGTTTTTTAATAAAGATTATGACTTTAGCCTTGGTTGAGGGTGCAGACAGAGCTCTCCTGCATCCATGACAAGAAAAAGAATGTTTTTGCAGACTTCCCGTAGCAGCATAATGACATTGAGAGAGGTTTTTTTTGCACGTGCGAAGTTGTCATGAAAACCCTGACTGGGTCAAGGCCAAAGTGGCTATTTTAAATAAAATATTTTTCTTGTGTGTGTTTGGTAAACTGATTGTCCTTGAGTTGATGTAGGTAGAGCTGGGCAGGGTGGGTCAGACTGATCTGTGCTGTGGGGGTACGTCCAGCACCTTCCGCACCGTTGGGCCCTGGAGACGTCTGGGTCCTTGTCTATGGGCAAAAGCAGTCAAGTGGGAGGCCACCTGGTTGGCACCTGAGTTTGCCTGATAGAGACATTGGTGTCGGTGGTGGTTGGGGGACAGGGGTAGTGGTGTTTAGAATACAGATTCCCGGGCCCCATCCCATCTGAGGATCAACAGATCCAAGTTTCAGGGGCTCACAGCTTGAGGCTAAACTCTCCTGAGTGAGACACTTCAGCCACTGAGCCACCAGCCCTGTCTACCTGCACGATTCTATCATGATGCTCAGTGACCCACTGCAGTGGCTGCTGAGGTTCCCTGGGGGCTGCGGACTGCTGGAGCACAAGGCCTCTCAGCCTTCCAGAACCAACCATCAGAGCGCGCTGTCTCACTCTATGCCGACCCTCACAGCCCATGCAGCCCTGCCTTCAAGTCTCTTTTCTTTTTTAACTGCTATATCTTGGGGAACTTTGCTTCCCAAAGTGCTGCTTGTTAATTTGTTCGATTTCCTGGATTTTGTAAGGCTAAAAATATATTCACTATCAAGAGGATGAAAGGACAAGCCACAGACTGAAAGAAAATATATGCAAAGGAGATGACGGATGTTAGCTTATTGTCATCATTTCACACTATTGGTGAATTACCATCACACTATATGCTTTGATACAACTTAAGGATATGTGTCAACTATTTCTCAGTGAAACTAGGAGGAGGGGGAGACACATCTGTATCTTACCAACATACACAGTGGGCTGTCTAACACTCAGGAAGAAGAAAGCAACCTGATTAAGAAATGGGGCAAAGACCTTAACAGGTGCCTACGAAATATTAATAAGATACATGGGTGCAAATATGCATTTGAAAAGATGCTCCACATCTCGTGTCACCAAGTAACACAAATTAGAACAAGGAGACACTACTACACACCTAGAAGAATGGACAAGATCCAGAACAACGACACCACCAAATGCTGGGAAGTATGTGGAGCAACAGGAGCTCTCATTCACTGCTTATGGGAATGCAACATAGTGCAGCCACATTGGAAAAGAGTTGTGTGGTTTCTTACAAAACTAAATATGTTGTTACCATACAATCCAACCATTGTGCTCCTTGCTATTTACCCAAACAAGTGGAAAACTTATGTCCTCACAAAAACCTACATATGAATGTTTGTAGCAGCTTTATCCATAACTGCCCAAAACTTGGAAGCAATCAAGATATCCTTCAGTAGCTGAATGGATAAATAAACTGTGATGCACCCAGACGGTGGGGCTTCCCTGGTGGCTCAGTGGTAAAGAATCTGACTGCCAATGCAGGAGACGAGGGTTTGATCCCTGGGTCAGGAAGATTCCCTTGAGCAGGAAATGGCAACCTGCTCCAGTGTTCTTGTCTGGGAAATTCCATGGACAAAGGAACCTGGCAGGCTATAGTCCATGGGGTCACAAAAGAGTCAGACATGACTTAGCAACTAAACGACAATCCAGTCAGTGGAACATTACTCAGCACTAAATGGAAAAGGGCTATCAAATCATAAAAAGATAGGAAACTTAAATGCATTCCTAAGTGAAAGATACCAGTCTGCAAAGGCTATAGCCTGTATGATTCCAACATAAGACATCCTGGAAAGGGCAAGAATGATGGAGACAGTAAAGACTAGTGGTTGCCAGGGGTTGAGGAAGAGAGATGGAACACAGGGAGTTTTTAGAGCAGTGAAACCACTCTGTATGACCTTGGTTTGGGAAGATCCCCTGGAGGAGGGCACGGCGACCCACTCCAGTGTTCTTGCTTGGAGCATCCCATGGACAGAGGAGCTTGGTGGACTACAGCCTATAAGGGTTGCAAAGAGTCAGACATGACTGAAGCGACTTGCCACAACATGGACCCTGTGATGATGGATACATGTCAACACAGATTTATCTAAACACACAGGATGTCCAAACCAAGAGTGAACCCTGATGTAACCTGTGCACTCTGGGTGATAATGACATGTTAGTGCATCTTCATCCCAAGTAACAAGTGAACTATTGGTGGGAGGTGTTGATGATGGAGAGGGTTGTGCAAGAGTGGGACCTAGGGTCACATTGAAAATCTGTATCTTCCCTTCGATTTTGCTATAAACCTAAAACTCTAAAAATAAAGTCTTAATATAATTAAGTAATTGAAAAATACATAGACTAGCCCCTAGAAATGGCTTGCATCTTTTTTATATTAATTTTGTTATTAAGATGCAACATGGGGGGAAGGATAGATTGGGAGTTTGGGAAGATAATAAGGACCTATGGTATAGCACAGGGACTCTGGTGAATATTCTGTAATAACCTAAATGGGAAAGAATTTGAAAAAGAATAGATCCATGTATATGTATAACTGAATCACTTTACTGTAGACTTGAAACTAACAACATTGTTAATCAGAT